GACGAGGGCGAGCGCTCGCGGGTGCTGCGCTCCTCGAGGGTACGGGTCCGGGGCCGTGTCTGCTCGCGCGCATTGCGGTACTCGGAGTCGCTCGAGGCGCGGGCGACGTACTGGCGCGGGTTGGCGGTGCGCTGCGAGTTACTGAGCTGGCTGTTGTGGGAGCGGGGGCTGTTGGGCGGGGACTGGAACGTCTGCACAGGCAGGCCGTCCTCGGGGATCGTGGCCGTGGCCGTGTTCGTCGAGGTGGTGGTCGTCTGCGAGGGCGGCGGGTCGTCGGGGGTGACGGTGCGGATGGTGTGGGCATGGCGGACGTCGTCGCGCTCGTGGAGGGAGTAGACGCCCTGGGCGGCCTCGGAGGCGCTCACCTCCCTCCGGCTGCGTCGCTGCTGCGTCTGCTGGTCCATGGATGCGGACCGCTGCGGTGTCGTCTGCTGCTCATTGACACACGACAGGCGGCCCGGCTCTGGCAGCTGGTAGCCGTGGCGCTGGCGGGAGTGCGGTGACGGCGGACGAGGGCGGCGGGGGCGCGGCAGGACTGGCGTCTGGTGTCGTGAGGCGCATCGCAGGCCTCGTTGCGCGGGCAAAATGGTCTGTCGTTAGGTAGTCAGAGGCCCACCGCCAGCCCTAGCGAGCCAACATGGCCACGACTAGCACCCAGCCTTGGCGCCGCTGAGATGCGTCGCTAAATCACCGCGCCCCGGCCCAAGCACCGCGACGCCAGCTGACGACTCTACCCAGCTGCGCTTGGGTGCCCAACGTCCCTGTGCCCGACGTCTCATCTATCTGCTTCACCGATTCTAGAATCCACATGTATGCAGGGGAGACGACTGTAGATCACAGCATAAGATAACACGCAACATATAACTAGCATTCTCTCAGCATTCTCCGCATTCTCAGCATTGGTATCGAACAACTACTGCAAACGGCGCCTCGTGGATATCTGAACCTCCCAATAACCCCACTGCCTGCCTATAACCTCCCAAGATTGCAAAATCAAATTAGTCCATTCCCATGTCCATGCTCCTCACTTGAACGGGGGCTTGTCAGCCGCGCTCTCCTCCACGCTCGCCGCGCTCAATGGCTGCGAGCGCGCACCGCTGAGGTCGCCCGAGTGCGTCTTGCGCAGCGCCTGTCGCATCGTTTCAATTTGCACTGGCAGCTCCTCGCCCGACGCTGGGTGTGGGCTGCCGAGCACGACAGGTGACGTAGGACTCGCCGGTGACCGCGTGCGCGACAGATCCGCGTGCTTAGGCGAAGCCGCTCCGCTTGTGGTTGGGGGCGAAGACGCCGCAGACCGCACTGGCGAGGGCGATCGGTTCGCTGTTGACGAGAGGCTCATAAACTGCAGAGCCTCCGTCGACGTGGCGCCCAACACTTCCTGCCTGTCGTGCTCAACATGCTCTGCCTGCACCACGTCTGCGAATGAAATGAAGCTCAAGCGCCGGGGATCCGCCGTGTCCAACGAGCCGTATCCGGGTGCTGAGTCTGGCACGTCAGCATGGCTGGACGCCACAGATTCTGTGTGAGGGAGAGGTGGCGAGTGCAGGGAGTCGGTTATGCTGCCCGCAACTGCGACGGCGGCTGGCTGATGCGCCGTGTGTGTTATAATCTCCACCTCGTCGGGGTTGAGGTGGTTGTCGGTAATTGCGAGGGACGTCGCATCCAGCGCGGGGGGTATGTGGTCTTCCGTCTTGATGTGGGCAGGCACGTCGGCTGAGGGCTCGGGCTCCTGTACGTTGCGCTCGAAGATGAGCGACGATGCGGGACTGTGAAGGCCGGGCGACGTAGAGCGGATGCGGCGACCAGGAGATGCGCCAATGGGCAGCATGCGCGGGCTTCCTCGCGGCGATGCTCGTTGCTCGGGCGGTGACATCGGGGGCGAGGGGAGCAGTATCGGAGTCGTGGTTGTTGATGCGCTCTCTGTTGGCTGTTTACCGGCCTCTGGATCCTTCTTCTTGCCTAGGCCCAGGAGCTTCTTTCCCTTGCTCAGGATGCTGCCATCGTCGGTCGACTTGGTCGCGCTCGATGCGGGTGCGACGGATGCGGGCGGGTTGGGCTGCTGAGGGGCTGCGGCTGCCGTGTTGGTTGCGCTCATGGTGATATCTGCTCTGTTCGTGTCGCGAGGTAGAAAGCAGCGCAAGAGGCGAGATGGGCGCCCTATACAAGAAGCTGCGAGTCGGGCCTATGGCAGGCAATAAACCTGTCCCTGTGTCGTCACGCGGTGGCTATCGTCGCTTTCCAAGTTCAGGGAAGTTGCCGAGTGGGATACACCCTTGACCTTTAATCAACAGGCCTTGGGCTCTCGTGCGCTACAGTGAATGAGATCAATAGACTCAGTGGTGGGAAGTGACAAGGTATTCAATCAGACTGTATGAGTGAAGTTTGCACGTAGTATAGCACTGCGCAGGTCTGTGTTGACAATCTCCTCTTCCTCGTGCTTTGGGTTGTTGATCATCACGGCGTGCTGACGTATGCCTAAGACCCTGAATGTGCCTGGGAGACTAGAACGCTTCCCCTAGCTCATCTCGCGCGCCCGCTGTCCAATGCCTTGCCAATGCCCGCCAACAACAACGCCTTTCAACGTGCGACGAGTCTCGATCATGTTTCACATCAAACGTTTACCATCATTTCCGCTCGCTGATCGAAATGCCACTCTTCTATGCTTGGTGACGGCGCAGTTCATTGCCACGGCCTGGTCGCTCTCCGGATCCCTCCATGCGCATGCATGCAGGACACTCACGTTGAATGACCGCTGCGCTTCCATCATGCTTCTACGCTTTTCTTCTCCGCGGTCCCCTCCATGTGGTCGAACCAAGTTCTTGTGATCGCTCACCAGGCCTCGATTACCATGTCTAACATCCCTGCTCCCGATCGAGAGTTCGACCTTACGTCGACAGTTTAAGGCAAAGCTCCATCAATCGGGCGAGTCTCGTGGACGCAGAATTTCTCACGGTTCATGCTTGGTTCTGACGCACTCGCAAGGCAAACTCGTCCAGTCAGCTCCAAGCCGCGCCGTGGGGCTGCTCGCTTCGTAGTGGCTGAACCCGCCAAACCCCAACATCGGACTAGCCGCGGGTAATTACACTTATGGGGGGCCAGACACGGTATCATCCCTTGGTGGCATAGCATCACAAGCCGTCCCCGCCTCACGTATATGCTAAGTGCATGGTCAAATCCTCATCATACCCCCCGAGTTGCAGGCATCATCCATCACGTTGAGATCGGGCGCCCCAATACAAACCTGCAGAAGCACGTGAACACGTTCGACCGCACCTCACTCCAGAACCTTGTTGAGATGAGAGCCGTCATCAACTGCGCCGCATCGGCTTTCGCCATTCTGGTTGGCCTACCACTTGTGCAAAGTTTATCGTCTGCGCCTGCATGACCTGACACGCAGGAGTCAGTAGATGCCGGTGTCAGCTCAGCAGCACAACCGAACTCCGTGAAGAAGTGGTACAACTCCCGGAAATAGCCATCAAGTTCCGCAGAAGGGTGAACGTACGCAATAGCTAGATCGATTGGCCATCATCGCTCTCCATCATTTCACTTCTTCAATATACAACATCCCAGCTGGAAGTATAAGATACTAATCACAGTGACTGTACCATCTGACAGATGCCAATATGACATGGGTACAGACTGACGCCCATGGTGGTGGCCGGTCGTGGGGTATACGGATTCGCGGATGCCGAGAAACGCCCTGCTCGACTAGGTATTCAAGATGATCGTGGCGCTACCAAAGTGCAAGTCCCAAGCCCGTGGTTTACCTCGTGGCTCGCTAAGTGTACGGGTATTCCCAGTCTTTCGATTCATGATCAGCCCGTGCCGGGCATCGAAACGAGTTTTGGTGTTTCGTTTCATGCATTTGACAACAAATCATCCATACCCTCATTTACCAACGTCCATTCCATACTGCGTATACCGCTACAACGTCACTGTTCCGATGCCGGGCAAGGATGGGTGCAGTCAAGATGTTCAACCCAAACGATTTACGGCCCACTATCGAAATCACAGCTTTCGTTCTGGTGGCCCTCTCGACAGTAGTGGTCGCTGTTCGGTTCGTTTTCTATCCTCATTGTTCTACCCTTGTCCTATTGTGCTCATCAACATTAGGTTCTACGTGCGAAGATGGATCGTCAGAAGGGTTAATCTAAGTGACTACTTAATGGCGACGGCATTAGTAAGTTGAAACCAAGTTGTGAACCGTCATATACTGATGGATTGTGGGTCTTCACTTGGGGGCTTTGCGCCTGCAATCATTATCAGCTGTTATTTGGTTCCGGGGTTGACTACAACCCAGGCGTCAGATCAAAGGTAAGGATATGTGTTTTGAAGTATGGGACGTGCTACAGCAACATGCTAAGCAAATCACAAGGTCAAAGCAGAGCAGTCGAAATTGGACCGCAACGCCTTAGGTGCTGTAGCAACATGTAAGTAGCTGTGCCGGCAAGCACAATGTCATTCTGACTGTTGGAAGGGTACGCATACCATATCGGTTATCAGTTCATAATGGGTCTCATCAAGCTCTCAATACTCGTCTGTAAGTATATTCCTTGACTACGTCGCCCAAATGCACGTCAATCTAATCCCTACACCTCCAGTCTACCTCGGCTTTGCAACCCAACGAACCTTTCGAAGACTAGTCTACATATCGATCGTCATCGTCACCGCTGTGACGATCATCTTGATCTTTATTATCGCCTTCCAATGTCCCAAAAAGCCTTCCGTCGCTTTCGGCGCTGCTATATTGCGAGACAGGGGCTCCATCCACTGTTTCGACTTGAAGATCATTTTGTACTGGCAAGCAGGCTGGAGTATCGCATCCGACGTCGTCATTCTACTTCTCCCCATGCCCCTTCTATTTTCACTGCGTATGCGAACAGCCAAACGCCTATCCGTCATAGCCGTGTTTGCTGTAAGCCTTCTCATTCCGATAGCATCTGCAGTACGGCTTTGCGGGCTGAACCTCTGGGCCAATAGCGGATTGCACGCTCGGTACTATGGGGGTTACATCATCTTCTGGTAAGTAAAACTCGCACAGCACGTAGATCCGAGACAGCTACTGATTGCACTCTAGGTCCCAAGTCGAGATCAACACAGCCATCATCTGCGCATCAGCACCATCCATCCAACCTCTCTTCAAACGCATCTTGAACCGAATACTCGGCTTCCGCCAATCCCGCAGCCCTTACTATTACTACGGGGCGCGCAGCTCGCTTCCCGGACTACCCGCCGTGGAAATCGACAGAGACTTGCGATTCCGTAGAGACAGCATTAGTACCCTGGAGATGCCGACGCGGGCTTGCTGTCCAGCCAAGGAAGATGCAGATGACGGACTTCGGGACCGAATTGCTATTGGTCATCCTGCGGAAGAGGAAGAGCTCAGGGCGCGTATTCGTGCGCTTACAAGTCCGACGCCTGTGTTTGTTCGGCCTGTGTCGCTGGCTTCTGGACCGACAGTTCTTGACTCCAGTGTGCCGGCGATGTCACCAGAAAATCCGCAAGGCTCTCTGCGCTGATCAGAGGCAGCATTTGAGACCTCTCAATTTTACAAGCGTGTAGGATCACCTACGCGCAGAGAGCTCCATGATCTGATCCCAAACGGACTGCTCGATTTTGGTGTTTGTACGCCCTGCCCAGCCAAGCGATACAAGCCAAGACCGGATTTCACTGTCGTTGCGCTTACCTGTCAGCGACCAACACCGCTCTCGTGGGCGGCGAACCTAGTTCTCGGCTGAGATAAGCCTGGGTGGGTGGGGGAGGTGGAGGGGAGGTGGTGGAGGTCTCAGACGTCGATGGCGCCTCCTCTGTGGGCGGACCTGGTTCTTGGCTGAGGTAAGCCGCCCCAGAACGTGGAGTTCAGTGTAACCATCGGTTACGCGATTGGTATTCGAGGCAGGCTCATTGGCCAATGATGAGAACATACCTGCCGATTTTGACAGACATGCTTGGGCAGAGGGGGAATCGATACTCCTGATCCGTTGTATGGGGGACGGGAAGGGAGAAGGCGTCCAGATGGAACAACAACATTTGCGCCTTGGATTAATATTGGGTGAGAGGAGATGCATGCGTCGGCACTGCTGGTTGCTTTTGTCTGCGAGGCACCATTCCAGATTGTGGCGCCGGCTCGAAGTCCGGCCATGGCGTGGTTTTCAGTCAGCGTCGCGTCGCGTCGCGCTCGAGATAGGCCCCCGCCGAGGTTCCACGCATGGATGAGTACCTCAGATAGTGCGATGATTGTCGCTTGTAGCCGCCTGAGATGCGAAATAGAGAATCGGTGCAGAAGCCTATGTGATTGTCGATACATGTTGATGATCTCCATCAGACCGACTTAACCCCGATGACGCACCTATCGCCGAGCTATAGCTCTAGACCCACCTTCCTCAACGGTTCAGCCTCCTGTCTTCCTTCCCACCAGCTCTACAAGTCGGCGTTCAAACAAAAACTCTACATCGCCGTCTCATCAAAGCTCCTCGCCGTCCTCGACAATGCGGCTCTGGCCCTGACTAAATCCAGATGGGGAAATTCTCGCGGCGGCTATGCTTTACTCAGGGACCCTGCATATACATTACATGAGAAGGGTCTAGCGTCAAACTACGCTTCGATCTGACATTTATCGCACCACAACAATCCACGTCACAACTTCCCTCAATGTCACGGTGATACTAACAGAAACATTCATTAATGCGGATTGCTAGTAACGGTCGCGATCTGGGAGTTTCCCTTTTCGAATGCGCGGCTGTGGGGTTACCGCTGCTTTTTGCTGCTTTGGATGGGTGGCAAAAGGTACCGATGCTCGCGGTTTGGATCGGAGGATGTGTTTTTAGACGGCGGCGTGGGGATCGCGGGGTCCTCACGGATTGCGCGGTGTTTGCGGTTTTGTATGCTTGGCTGGCGAGAGAGGAGTTGGTTGCGACTGTGTTGAAGAGTTGGAATGATTGGAGGGGCTGGGCTGAAGGGTTGCCTGGTACATATGCCGTCTTCAGCGTCGCGATACCGCTAGCTCTACTCGCACTCTTCCCCTGGCGCAGCGTTCGTAGCAACGAGGACCCAACTGCGAACACGTCTGATATCAGTCGATGGAGATCTGATGTGGAAACGCCAAAGCCGAAGATCTTCCCGTGCCAGACGTCGCATGCTCGAATCTTTCCGAAACGCCATGCTTTCGCATACTCATACCTTCAGTGTGGATTTCCCATCGTCCCAAGTGGAGCTAAATACCAGGGGATAGCGTTCGCAGGCGGGGATGACCAGTCTTTGGGTAGATGGTGGTTGCGGATAAGAGCGGAGGATTATCTGGAACGAGGTGGCGGCGCACTCGGATTCTACTGGAAGCTGAGGTCGTACTTGCGGGCTCAGCATGTTGAAGATGCGGAATGGGAGTATGCCTATCTGGTGACGGCACCGCGCTTCTTGGGCTACGCATTTAATCCGGTCTCGTTCTGGTATATCTACGATCGCGAACATCAGCTTGTGAAGATGATACTCGAAGTCAACAACACATTTGGAGAAAGACGCATGTATCTGCTTGATGGATCGAGCCCTACCAGTCCCTCGCGCACATCTGATTCTGAACAAACGTCTGGATCCGAAGAACACGGATCGCAGATTCCTATCCGGGCGAAGTCGAAGTTTACCGATGTATGGATGAAAGATTTCCATGTTTCGCCGTTCAACTCTCGAAAGGGTTCGTATGCGCTGAAGGCCCAAAACCCTTTCCCTTCTGTGGATTACGAGAACCCTCTGATCGACAACACGATTACCCTGAAGTCTTCCAAGGACCATGGGAAGCTTGTAGCTCGCCTCTTCTCTACCGGAAAGGCTATTGACCCGGACCATTTGGGGTTCCTCGGAACTCTGCGGTTCATCCTCAGCTGGTGGTGGGTAGGCTTTGTAACGTTCCCGCGCATCGTAAGAGAAGCTGGCAAGATCTTTTTCAAGAGGAAATTGCACGTGTGGTTCCGGCCGGAGGTGCTAACGTCGAGCGTTGGTCGGCCTCCCACTTCCGCTGAGATGTAAGTACGAGTGAAGCACTACCCGAATCCAACTAATAATCCCAGAACACTCTACAAAGTATTCAGAAACTACCTACACGTACTCGTAAACCAGACCGAAGTAGACTTTTGCATCACGTTCAAGGCGTCGGTTCCCAACATCCCCACGGACAAGATTGCTACAACACACGTCCCTGGTCGAGACCGGCCGTACAAGAACATCGAGATCCGTGTGCTTACACCAGCCTTCTACTCGCGACTCATCCACTACACCTACATATCGGAGGCTATCGATCGCGAATGTATCTTCACCGACGAACGGAACAGGACATTATGGTTGTGCCGTCCCCAGCTCCTACCTTTGCTACTCTCAGAACGCTCATCGATACGCCTCAAAGACGAGGACACGCCATCAGTGCGAAGAAGCTATCTGGACGAGCTCAGATGGTGGTTACTCAAGAAGTTGAGGTGCCCACCCGCAGACCCTGCATATTCAGTCACGCCGCAAAATCCCGCGGTCAATGTAGATGATATCCGCGCCAGGCCATTCTCTGAGCTGGATAGATACGTCCGGGGTTACTTCGGGCAGCAGTACGCTTGTGAGTACCGCAGGACCGTTACCAAGCTTTTCTTGGCACAGCGCTTTTGTTTTGGGTTTACAGAGATAGTCGGGCTGGTGGATTTGGTGATCAGGATCTTGCTGTGTTATATTGCTGCTCGGCAGCTGATGAGTTGGGGTGCGTCGGCGCCAGGATTGATGTCAGCTGAATGTCTAGAAGGTTTGGTGACGAGGACGGATTGGTCGGCATGCTCCAATGCGCTTGCGATGAATCACTGGGGTTGGTGGTCGTTGGGGAAGAGCGCGTTGGCGGTGTACTCGTGTCACATGTATGAATCCTTGAAGGGTTACAGATGAACCGTACATCATTCTCCTCTTAGCTACAATTCAACTCATCAACATACCTCCCGAATAACAGTGATGCACATGGCGGTACAACGCCCAGCCACGAGCATTTGCCGGGATCGTCACTTGCTGCCGAGCGAGCCTTATCCGAGATATTCCAGACGCAACAATGACACCACTCACGTGTTTTCCGAGACAAAAGCGCCCTAAACAGCGAAGATGCCTGCTCGTGAAAGTCGCAGATCAAGAGCGGTTCAGGCCTTTTCCGGACAGGATCAACCGAGGTAAAACCCGCGCGACGCTAACGAACACGCGACCCCAGATTTTGGCGTGCGTCTTCACATGCACCAGAAAACCAGCTAAGCAGAGGGACAGAACGTCGACATGTGAAGCTGCAGCATACTGTCGCGTGTCATACCGAACATCATCTCCAATGCATCGAGATGGGAACTGTGATATAGGAGTAGGATGATAACGAAGGATGCAGCTCTGTCTGTAACGAGTTGACCCAAGACCATTGGCAAACGTCATCCCCGTCACGGTTCCGCTGGTCCCCCATCCCCACCCCGATCTACACTGGTCAGCCTTCCAAAACGTCAATTCCCCTTGGGCCGAGGGCAACGCAAAACAACGCTCGAGGCAAGTGCATGGCCAGCGCTAGACGTTTGCTGCCAGCTTCCGAGGATGCAGCAGTCGGGCCAATGGTGCGTCCAGCCGGTCGTCCCCGAGCTCACTTTGGGGTGCTGTGCTAGCCGTGCTGGTGTGAGTATGCTGATGGCTATGGTTATAAGACGCTTGGCTTCCCCCCCAAGGTTCCTGGCTGCGTAGACCGAGGCTAGAGTAAGTGTGGTGTCATTGCTGGTCATCTTTATCAAAGGACGAGCTTTCCCTCTTGTTTTTTATTATATTTCTCCATACACATATCTGTCGTGTCGAAAGAACCTAGCTTTTTTGTTGTTGTTACACATCCTACGCATCAATCATCATGGCGAACATTGACGCCGAGGACGCGCAGTTCCAGAAGGAAGTTCAGGAAGTTAAGCAGTGGTGGACGGACTCAAGATGGAGGTATACCAGGAGGCCGTTTAATGCTGAGGACATCGTTTCGAAGAGAGGTAATCTCAAGATCACCTACCCAAGCAATCACCAGTCGAAGAAGCTTTGGGAGATTGTGGAAGGACGCTTCAAGGTATGGTAGTCATCTTAGACTCCAAGTATGCGAGTTAACAATATGCAGAACAACGATGTCAGCTACACATACGGATGTCTTGACCCTGTCATGGTCACACAGATGGCGAAGTATCTAGATACTGTTTACGTTTCTGGATGGCAAGCATCCTCAACAGCTTCATCGACCGACGAGCCAGGTCCAGATCTAGCAGACTACCCCTACGTAAGTCACAGGAATGAACGGTGACGTGGAACGAAAGCTAACAAAGCAAAGACAACCGTCCCCAACAAAGTCGGCCACCTCTTCATGGCCCAGCTTTTCCACGACCGAAAGCAACGCGAAGAACGCCTGACCACCGCGAAAGCCGATCGTGCGAAAGTCGCCAACGTAGACTACCTACGACCGATTATCGCAGATGCCGATACTGGACATGGAGGTCTCACAGCTATCATGAAGCTTACGAAGCTGTTCATTGAGAAGGGTGCTGCGGGTATACATATCGAGGACCAAGCGCCGGGAACAAAGAAGTGCGGACATATGGCTGGAAAGGTGTTGGTTCCGATCAGCGAGCATATCAACCGTCTGGTCGCTATCAGGGCACAGGCAGATATCATGGGTGAGATCATGCTTTTCGATTATCAGCTTCAACACAGGCTAACGATTGAATGACAGGAACCGACCTACTTGCCGTTGCCAGAACCGACTCAGAAGCCGCTACCCTGATCACTTCCACCATCGACCCACGCGACCACCACTACATTCTAGGCTGCACAAACCCTGCCCTACAGCCTCTCGGCGAGCTCATGTACGCCGCCGAACAAGCTGGCAAGACCGGTGCGGAGCTCCAAGCGATCGAAGATGCATGGACGAAGGAGGCCAACCTCAAACTATACCACGAGGCCGTAATCGACACAATAAACGCCGGTGTACATGTCGACAAGCAAAGCATGATAAACGAGTTCATGGAGAAGAGCAAGGGCAAGAGCAACTCAGAAGCACGCGCCATCGCCGCAGGCCTGACCGGCGTTGATGTGTACTTCAACTGGGATGCCGCAAGGACGCGCGAGGGCTACTACAGGTACCAAGGCGGTTGCCAAACCGCCATCAACCGCGCCATCGCATACGCACCCTACTGCGACATGATCTGGATGGAGTCAAAGCTGCCCGACTTCGCGCAAGCGAAAGAATTCGCTGATGGCGTGCATGCCGTGTGGCCCGAGCAGAAGTACGTCTCCTTCCACCCCCTTCCCCTCACACGCACTAACAATCCCAATAGACTGGCATACAACCTCTCCCCCTCCTTCAACTGGAAAGCCGCCATGCCGCGCGACGAGCAAGAAACCTACATCCAGCGCCTGGCCAAGCTGGGTTACTGCTGGCAGTTCATCACGCTCGCTGGTCTGCACCAGAGCGCGCTCATGGCTGATACGTTCTCTAAGGCGTATGCGAAGCAGGGTATGCGTGCTTATGGCGAGATTATCCAGGAGCCGGAGGCGGAGAACAAGGTCGATGTGCTTACGCATCAGAAGTGGAGTGGCGCGAATTATGTGGATAATCTGTTGAAGATGGTGTCGGGTGGTGTTAGTTCTACGGCGGCTATGGGGAAGGGTGTTACGGAGGATCAGTTTAAGTGAAGGGGTGTTGTGGGGGTTCATTGAAACGAAGCTTTTATATCTCAGATTTCTGGGTCACTAGCCACCTTGGTGGCTCCAACGACTTACCACCATGAAGATAGTGCCATGACCGCGCCAGTGAATGCACGTATGTTTGTTTAGACCCTCACCACCTGGTGAACGTTTGTATTCTTTGAAACTTCGGAATTCATTCTTCACAGTCTCAACGTCAAAGCCTTTCGCTCAACAAACCCGCAAGCTCATTATTTCATTCGACATTGAGCACTGTGAAGACCCATCGCCTTCTGGGTTAATTATACTTTAGATCTGCAACAACTTTGTCCAAAGCTGTGCAGAAAGAAGGCACTTTATCTGGTTCCACTTCTCCGCACCAGACCTGTGTCCACCAAGCAGCAGTTGAGAACCTAGACTTGATTCTACTACACTATGTCAGCGCAGAAAGACATTGCGAGACCAACAGAAGCTCCCGCAAACCCCACATCCTCATCGTCTAGGAAAGAACGCAGCGACATGGCCCAACGTATCAAAGACGACAGAGAAAAGCAATGCCAATCATACGGTCCACAAGTCTTTGAAGATGCTAGGGCTTTTGAAGCCTCCCTGGACAACGGAATACTCTTCACCCGCGCGTTCTTCGAAAAAGCAGCAGAGCAAGTCGAGATAGTTCGTAGAGGCGATCCGAACATGCCATTCATGTTTTTACCACTTGTACTAGGTAATGGACAAGTGGAGAAGCGTGTCCCACCGTGTGCCTCGCCCGCGGTCAGCCTGGGTTTTAGCGGGGTCTTCATTGGTGCTTCTGACATGATGCGTCCTGCGTATCACATTAGGACTCCCCAACATCAGGATACTAAGTACGATTTCAGTGATACCAGGGTGCTGAAGCCCGATAGCCTTCAGAGTACACATGAGCAGGCGAGCCAACAATGCTCTTCTTCCAGGGAGTACAAAGGAATCCCGAAAGCCCTCGAGACATCCTTGCTTCGAGGTAGATTCTGGGCGAGTGTACGAGAGCAGCTCGACGCTCTCACCGTACCAGTCGACAACATTGTTTGCGTAGCCCTCGGAACCATGTACGGAACAGAGGAGGAAGGCAGAAAGGATGATACCTCAGCTACACAGCACCTGCTCGCCTGTGCCATCTCGACCTACTTATCGCAGCGGTACGCAACCACTTCCTCCGCGACTTCCACACCAACCCCAATCCCAATTGTAGCTCGCGACCCGGCCTATAAACGCGAAGACATGATCATGCTTTCTCAGTGCAACCCTCCCATCACAGTAGTATCAGAGCCGTACCAATACCTCTCTATCACGCCCTCTACGCTCTTGATAAGTCTCTACCAACCCGCCTTCGTACCGGTCTTCCAGGTCGCTGCGGATATGTGTTTTCCGATAAGTCCCGCGGCAATCATCACCGCAGAGATACTGAGCCATCCGTGGCATAAAGAGGGGAAGATCATGGCGCTCGATACTTGGACACCGCGAGTTGGACGGATGCTGGAGTGTATGAATGCGACGTGGCTGGGTCGGGAGTTTGCGGACGATTGTTTGTCGCCGGATGACGAGGGTAGGTTCGAAAATGCCGGCGACCTCATTGATGATTGGGGAAAGAACTTGACGTTTTATGCGCGGAAAGAGTAGGCTTTTCGTTGCTGTGTCGGCGCTTTTTTTGGACCTCTCCTCTCAGATCATGTTCTTTCCTCTAATTGTTGCGAAGTTTGTAGTAGACTGGTCTTGTTCCGACGCTGTTTGTCTTGATGTATATCAAAGATACATATGAACTGTAATGCGGGCGCGTACTCATAATATCAATGTCAAGCAATCAATTGAAGAGCTTAGAGTTGTTCGTATAGTGAGGTGAAGATAATCGTCTTCGGGCCTGGGAGCTGCTATCAAACGCTTGTCAAGGTTCTCAGCCAACCATGATATGGCCGGCAGCTGCCCAATGGGCCATGGTGTCGCCAAGAGGAGGACAACATGGTGCTCTGAGATATATATGCCATCGGTACCCTCGTGACTCTCTACATCTCTTTCACATCCATCGATTGTTTGCAACAGATCTTTCGCCGTTTTCTTTTTGCTCTGAGATGATTGCTCTTGCAGAGCCCTGAGCTGGTCTCGTTATCTCTTCAGCTATCGGCTGCTCCGTGCGCGAGGCACAAGCTCCCCGTTTTCCAGGGACCTCGGCGCCGCATGCCGTGCCA